GCACACTAGGCAGGCATTTTATCAACTAAACTATATGCCCAGTCCCTCACTACAGCTTTTCTAAGAACAGTTTAAAAGAGAATTGCAAAACTCAAATATCCATCAATAGGTAATATGTGTTTTCACTTTAAATGACTAAATTACAGCATATCTGTACTGTTACAAAGTATTAGACTGTAAATACGTAGAGCTAGTACAAAATTCCCAGATACACTTTTTAACAACTCCCATCACAACTACAAGATAAAAACACATATGTGGCCAGGTGAGGTGGCCCACACCTTTAATCCCAGCACTTAAGAGGCAGAGGCAGGCAGATCTCTGTGAGAGAGATTAAGGCCAGCGTGGTCTACATAGTGAGTTCTAGGCAAGTTGGGGCTACAGGGAGACTCTGCCTCAAAACAACAAACAAAGCCTCATATACTTGGGGCTAGAGAGATAGCTCAGTGGTTAAGAGCACTGGCTGCTATTGTAGAGGATTCAGTTAGGTTCCTAGCACCCACATGGTGGCTTACAACTGTTTTAACTCTTAATTCCAGGGGCTCCAATGCCCTCTCTTCTGGCTTCCACAGGCACAGTACACATGCGGTGCACATACATACATTCAGGCAAGACACAAAATAAACAAAGCCAGATATGGTAGCACAAACCTTGAATTCCAGCACTCGGGAGGCAGAGACAGGCAAATCTCTGTGAGATAGAGGCTAGCTTAGTCTACAGAGAAAGTTCTAGGCAAGCTGGGGCTACAGGGAGACCGTCTCAAAAAACAAACAAACCCAAACCAAAAGATTTTAAAAGTTGACATACTTATTATTCATAAATCAGGAAAACATATGTGCTGTAGATAATAGCAATGGGAGGGCTTCCACAACCCACATTATACACTAGACATTGTTTATTTCCACTACCCATACCGCACACTACACACTTTTGATTTCCACTACCACATTACATACTACACATTGTTGCCTTCCAGTGCCCACATTACACACTACACACTGTTGCCTTCCAGTGCCCACATTACATACTACACACTGTTGAGTTCCACAACCCACGTTACACCCTAATGTGAAGCTGGAGAGATAGTTCAGTAGTTAAGAGCACGGCTATTCTTCAAGAGGACCCAGGTTCAGTTCCCAGCACCAACATGATGGCTAACAATTGTAACTGTAACATTATTCCATGGGACCTGACACCCTCTTCTGGTCTCTGTACACACTGCGTGACACAGGTGCATTTACACAAAAAACTCCACTACATAAAAATAAATACATAAAACAATAAATAAAAATTCTTTATTACATTTTCCTTTTTCAATATTTTATTATTTATATTTTATGTGTATGAGTGTACTGCCTGCATGCATGTAAGTGCACCCATGCTGTGCAATGCCTGTGGAGGTCAGAAGAGGGCGTCAGATCCCCTAGAACTGGAGTTTTGGATGGTTGTTAGCCACCATGTGGGTGCTGGGACTCAAACCTGGGTCCTCTACAAGAGCAGCCAGTGTTCTTAACCCCTGAGTCATCTCTCCAGCCCCAATAAATAAATTTAAAAAAAAAAAAAAGCACCTTAACTTCTGAACAAAAGCTTGTGTTCACTTTGTAATAAACCTAAATAATCCTGAGAGACAGAACTTCGACAGCCACTGTTAAGAAGAAAGAGACAAATATAGAAAAGGCCAGAACCTACAGGTTAGATTTTTCTGGGTGCTGGCCAAAAATCTACTCGTATGTTCCAAAGTTCTTGCTTATTTCTTCTTTTTTAAAAAATATTTTTACGTGTAATGCGTGTATTGCCTGCATGTAGTTAAGTGCACCTGTGTCATGCAATGCCCATGGAGGACAGATGAGGCTATCCAGATCACCTGGAACTGGAGTTATGGACAGTTGTTAGCTGCCATGTGGATGCTGGGATTCAAACCCGGGTCTTCTGCAAGAACAGCCAGCGTTCTTAACTGCTGAGCCATCTCTCCAGTCCCATACTTTAAAAAAAAAATATTTTGTGTATTTTTTTATTTCATGTGTATGAGTATATTGCCTGCATGCATCCAAGTGCACCCATGTCATGTGATGCCCATGGAGGTCAGAAGAGGGCTTTGAATCCCCTGAAACTGGAGTTACAGACAGTTGTTAGTTGTCATGTGGGTGCTGGGATTTGAACCTGGGTCCTCTGCAAGAGCAGCCAGTGCTCTAATTGCTGAGCTGTCTCTCCAGCCCCAAAGTTCTTATTTTTATTTCTATCTAAAGTCCAAATCAATGCTAGGCAAACAAAGTTTCTCCAGTCCTTTAACATTAAGAAGAAAGATAGGAGGCAAAGAATTCTTTTTGCCCATTTTTGTTGAGGAAGAAAATGTGCAAGAAAGATTCAAAGAAAATAATTTTGGGGGCTGGAGAAATGGCTCAGTGGTTAAGAGCACTGGCTGCTCTTGTAGAGAAGCCAGATTTGGTTCTCAGCACCCACATAGCAGCTGATGACTATCTGTGACTCCAGTTCCAGGGGATCTGATGTCCTCTTCTGACCTCTGCAGGCATTGCACTCATGTGGTACACTTACAAACATGCAGACAAAACACACATACACATAAAAAGTTTTTTATTTTAAATTTAAAAAATAAAGATTAAAAAATTTTACAAGGAGCTGGGTGTGGTGGCACACACCTTTAATCCCAGCACTTTTGAGGCAGAGTCAGGCAGATCTCTGTGAGTTTGAGGCCAGCTGGGTCTACATAGTGAGTTCTAGGCCAGCTAGGGCTACAGGGAGACACTGTCTCAAAAAGACCAAAAAAAAATTTTTTTTTACAAGGCTACTCCTAGTGAATTACAGGCCAGCCTGGGCTACAGTGTGAGGCTGTGTTTCAAAAACAAAGAAAAAGTGTACAAGGCACTTTTACAATGTGGGAAATGCTCAGGTGATTCAGGACATCATCTCACAGTGTAAGTGCACAGGGCTGGGAATACAGCCCGATGATATAGAATTTGCCTAGCATGCATATACCTTAGGTTTGCTACTCAGCACCCCTACGAAAGAAAAAATGTACAATAAAAAGGTGTAAAGAGAAGGCTGGTTGGATGCTCAATGCCCTTGCAGAGGACCTGTGTTCAGTTCCCAGCACCCACATGGTGGCTAACAACCACCTGTAACTCTAATTCCAGGGGAATCTGATGCTCTCTTCTGACTTCCACAGGCATTGCACAACATGGGTACACTTACATACACACAGGCAATATACTCATACACATAAAATAAAAAATAATAAAGCATTTTAAAAAAGACCAAAATAAAGTAAAAGACCTAAAAAAGGAATTAATAAACAATAAGACAGTCTTTTTAAAAATTATGTTGAGAAGAGTATTTTATTATTGCTAAGTTTTGTTTTTTGGTCTTTTTGAGACAGGGTATCCCTATAGCCACAGCTGGCTTGGAACTCATTATGTAGACCAGGCTGGCCTTGAACTCACAGATATCTGCCTCCCTTTGCCTCCCAAGTGCTGGGATTAAAGAACCTACTGCTAAGTTTTAACACTACTGGGAGTAGGTGAATTTCCTATGTACAAAAAGCACTATTTTTTTTTAAAAGGGATACTTCTAGGTAAAAATTAAACATGTTCTTTATGTATAAGCCAAGTCCATAACACCTTAAACATGCTAACGGGGACACTGACTATTCAACAGGGGGCTACAGAATATACGTCATCTGACAGCACTGGAAACCTGTATGAATACGGCAAAACACTCTAAGAACTGCTAATCAAACCCAGTAAGTGCAATGTTTACTGACACTCTAATAATGCCTTATAAACATAAACTACTTTTCTTTTTCTTTTTTTCCCCCCTATTTGGAGACAGAGTCTTGCTGTGTAGCCCAGCTGGTCATAAACTCATGATCCTCCTATCTAAGCCCGACAACTGCTGGGATCACAGATGTGGCCAGCACCTCAGTCCCCAAGTGATAGATGTCTTTCTAACCCTGATATGTTTCAGAACAAGGGGTGTTCTTTTTAAAGAGATCTGTGTGTATAGTGTGGGCACATGCATGCCATGGAATATGTGTGGAGATCCGAGGACAACACTGGTATTGGTTCTCACCTTAGTATGCATGTGTGTTGTGTGTGCATGCATGCCCACCTGCCCATGCACACACAGAAGCTGAAGAGGATGCTGTGTATCTTGCTCTACCATGCTTCACGTTATTCCCAGACACAGAATCTCTCACTCAATCTGGAGCTTGGCTGACCTTCCTGTTTCCTCCACCTAGCTTGGGTGTGTCTTGGTGGCCACATCTGCTTTTTGCAAGGATGCTACCTACGGGTTAGAACTCGGATATTCATGCTTATGCACCAAGTGGCATTGAGCCACCTTTCTAGCCCCAGGAACAGTGATTCTTGACCTGTATTTGTCACTAATTCTTTTGAGAATCCAAGGTCTTTTCTCTAGAAAGACGTGCATAATTGTACAGCAGAAGGATTAATTTCTTAGAGTTATGATGAAGATAAGGACTTCAAAGTAGCAAGGAATTGTGGTAACAGCAATTACAAAATTAATTTCATGATAACATGAACAGACAGAAAATGCAATCAGCGTCCTTAACTTCAAGCCCAATATAGCTCAGAATATTTGCCTAACAAGGTATCTACTATTGCAGTCGCTGGTAGAGCACTGGCTTAGGAAGTGTGAAGCCCTAGGTTCAATCTATAAATTCCCAGGAGAGAATTCCACATCACATTGTCATTTTCTTCTGATCCACTGTTCTAGTTACATTCATTACTGGCTTAAACAGCATTTTGGAAGGCACAGAAGACATGAAACTACAAATTGGAAATCTTTAAAGTGAATGGCTACAGTAAAGCAAAAATAAAAACACACTTCCAAACTCTTCAATTATTTAAAAATGTAAGAGAGCAGAGATATATCTGTGTAGAGAATGCAAACTACAAAGACGCCTTTAAGAACTTATATGATCTAAGAAAGATGGGAAATGAAGGTGTTTTAATAAGACTTACGTTTTGCCTCTGATAGATTCTGATTAGGTGACCAGACCAACATGCCAAGGTTGTCTCGTTCTTGACTGCGCCTTGCCAGTTTGGCTTAATAGAAAGAAAATAAAATATTTATTGTAAGTTAGCAGCCATAACAAGTGGTAAACGTGACCTCACCACCCACCCTTCACTTTGCACTCAAACAACAGTAATAAATGACAGGTGCAACCAGGGTCCGGGAATAGGGAGGCAGGAGTATGACAAAAGGGACAGTGTCTACCAAAGGGGTGCATACCATGCCCAGCAGAGGATGACCACTTTTATATAGTTCTGAGTTTTACATAAATGTTCATGCTGTATATAATGTAAAAAGAAAAGTCAACAAGGACCGAGCTCACTACTAAAAGCCTTTTTATTAAAGACACTGAACTCACCCACTAGGGTGAAACTCTTGTGGCCTCTTAACCTCTCAATATATTCGCAATATAGATTTCAATGTGAGTTTTGGAGTAGAGAAGCATTCAAACCAAAACAACATATCACCAAAGTGTTTGGCAAAAGCTGGGTATGTTTGTATATGCCTATGATCCAATAGCTATGAATTTCAAGGCCAGTTTGCTCAGCTACCCAGGGGAATGTAACAAGACCATATCAAAAAACAACCAAGCCAAGCATGATGATGTATGCCTTTAATCCCAGCACCTGGGAGGCAGAGGCAGGTGGATCTCTGTGAGTTCAAGGCCAGCCTGGTCTACATAGTGAGTTCCAGGCCAGCTGAGGTTACAGGGAGACCCTGTCTCAAAAAGACCAAAAAAGCAAAACAAAAACAAAAACAAAAAAACCCAAACAAAACACCCACCCCACCAAAAAAAAAAGTTTAGGAAAAAAAAAAAAAAACTATAGATGCTAAAACTATCCAGCATCCAAGGAAAGGCTCACACTGCTACATCATACAAGAGCACAAAATTAAAACCATTCAAAGTCTGGGGATAATATGGAGGAAATGGACTCTGTACTGATGGTGGCAATACAAAAGAACTACAGCTTTGGGGAAAAGTCTAGCAGTTTCTGCAAGTGGTAACACATCCAAGCAATGGAATATAAGTCAGCAATAAAAAGAAATGAACTAAACACAGATGAACATGAATGGACCTCAAAATAAAGAAGCAGAGGGAACGCTCCAAATACAGAAGGGAGGCTCTCAGAAGAAATCCCTGGTGATGGACAGCAACCGTTGGTAACAATATGCACTCATGGGTTTTATTATCAACAGAAATATAGCTGTGTGTACACATGCATCAACACACTTATTTCCCATCTGTCCACTGAGAAAGCCTAGAACGAAAACTGAACACACTAACTCCCAGATGTGACTTCTCAACATCATCTCCAATAAAGAAACCAGGACATCTTAAGGAAGTGTTTTATTCCAAGACTCACAAGATTACAAGATAACCCTGGACTAGTTCATTACACAGGGATAAGAAGCCTAAAGAACAATGGGTTCGATCTTTCATATGACAAATGCAGAACGATGTGAACAACAAAATAATAGAATGACAAAAACTTTAAATTGTGGGAGCCCACCCTCTGACATTCAGGACGCTGAGGCAGGAAAATCGCCACAAATCCAAAAATTTGAGCTACCAAGTGAAACTTTGTCTTAAAAAAAAAAAAAATCAAGATAGAAGACTGTTGGGGTCCTCTGTTATGCAAAGTAGAAGTCTCTTCATGTCCGGATAGCTCACGAGCTCGGAAACTATGTGCTGCAGATTTGCAGATTCCTTTCATAGCAGAGTGCCTTCCTGGCATCCTCCCTGACTCCTTTTAAAGTGCTCGCCACAAATACATGCCCTCCGGCACAGGAGCTACCAGGTTTTTAATCAGGCATTGTCTGATAGCCTGATAGAAGCCCACCGCCCTATGTAAATGAGGCATCCTAAAAGTACCTATCAGCTAAGGCTTCTTCTGCTGTCTCTACACTATAAATAGTCCTAGTTTTACCCCAATAAAGTTGGAGCTGGAGCTGAATCACTGAGATCTGAGCTGAGTCACTTGTCTTGAGCTGTAACACTAAATCCTGTGATCCAGTCTCCCCGGGGGGCGCTATTCCTCCGTCACCGACTCGCGGACACCCTGGCTTTCACCGTCCCTCGTACTCTTCCCGTGTGGTCCAAGTGGCCAGTGGACCTCACATCCTGAGGAAGGTATACGGGTGAAATAGGGACGGGATCGACTGAGTAGACCTCAGTAGCGGAGGAACTTTCACTGCCCAGGAGTGCGCGCTGGGACCCTGAGAACCCAGTGCGTGCTCGCCTATAGAAGACCAGGAGGAGGAAGGAAGGGGGGGGGGGGAACAACAACAAATGATTCAAAGAGGACACTGGAGAAATAAGAAACGTGTCAATTAGTGGGTTGCCCCCCTATGAGCTGTTGGCCTGAGGGGCCCTAGAGGTCCCCAAAACAATAAAGGCCATTGCCAACAATATTGGTTGTACACTGGAAGTGGACAGAAAAACCCGAATGCTGAAGACACTGCTTGATTTAAGCACAGGAGAGGGAGAAGTCAAGCTTGGACTAAGTTGGAAACTGCCTGCCACTGGATGGGTGGCTTTCATGGTGCCAAAAGGCGATATGCAGATGAGGAGAACATCCCCTATAATTCTGCAGATATGCAGATAGGGATATGTAGATAGGGAGAATGTCCCCTATAATTCTGCTCAATGACGGACCCCATTTCACTGATGTTCCAGAGCGTCTAGTGTAGGTACAAGCAGCAAATTTACGACAGGATATAATGCCCACTCCTAGGGGTGGAACACACATCTGGTACTGTAGACCAGGCTGACCCCCTGTGGCAGGGGAGATTACAGGCCCCAGTGGGAAGCCACTGCAATCTGGATGTAATGCACCAGCTCAAGTACCGTCCAAGCGTTTGTGTTTACACTCATAGGTTAAGTTATCATAGCAGCTACTGTTTAGATGTTCTTGCCTCGTGCTGTTTGTGTTTTTATAGTAGATGGAATCCCATTGAAATGGGCCAACAGCCTATGGAAAACTGACAGTGCAGAGATCCGAAAGCTCAGTGCCTTGTCACAATGGGAGGAAGGTCATCCTACACCTACCACCCTCCAAGGCTCAGGGACTTTTGCAGAAGAGGTTGGCAGAAAGAATATAGGAGCTGGAGAATGGTGAAGTGTTAACTCTAAGTATCCTCTGACCACTATGGCAGCAAGCTATAGTCACACCTCCTTCCCAGACTCATCAAGGAGTTGGGGGGGGTCAATCACCCCTCCCACCCAATGTAGTCAACCTTAGCTGCATGTGTGGGAGGGACTAAAGATATTAAGGTGAGAATCCCAGGAGGGACCTCTCTCACCATTTTGTGCAGCTGTCGGGAAGTCACAGGATCTATATCTGAGTGTGGACTTTCCAGTGCAGCCATAAATGGGGGGTGTCCCCACTCTTCTGTAAATAAACCCCCACTCTATGCTCTGTTAGCAAGCCCAATAAACTCATTAGGATTAAAAAAAAAAACAGAGGTAATGGAAACCTTCATTATTCCACTAAAGTTGACCTCTTCACTGCTCCACCAAAGTTGACCCCATGTTAGCAAATCCTTTGATCCTTTGGTCTTTGACTGTTTTGGGTTTTCTTTTTTTCTTTCTTTCTGTGACAGGATCTCCCTGTGACCCAGCTGGCCTGAAGCTTGGTGGGTGGACTGGGCTGGCCTGGAGCTCACAGAGATCTGCCAGACTCTGCCTCCCAAGTGCTGGGTTTGAGGACATGTGTCACCATGCCCGGCTTTAGTCTGATTTCTTATCTCTACTTTTCTACCCATAAACTTCATTGTATATGTCTTTTTATGTAACCTGTTTCAAGTTATTTCTGGAAAAATGTATTAAAAATTGCCTCTCTTTGGAAAAATAAAAATATTCTTAAACTTGTCAATTAACATAAAATTATAAAACTTTCAGAAAAAATTGTTGTAAATTAGCTTTTTAAAAAAAATTTTATTATTTTTATTTTATGTGTACGAGTGTATTCCCTGCATGTATGTGAGGGCATGCATGCCATTCAGTGCCAGAGGAAGTCAAAAGAGGGCGTTGGATCCCCTGGAACTGTAGTTATGGATGTTAGCCGCCATGTGGGTGCTGGGAATCGAACCTGGGTCCTCTGCAAGAACAGTCAGTGCTCTTAAAAGTTGAGCCACCTCTCCAGTCCCTGTAAATTAGCTTTAAGAAAAGTATTCTACAGGGCATGGTGGAACTGCCTTTAGTCTCAGCCCTCAGGAGGCAGAGGTTGGCAGATCTCTGTGAGATCGAGGCCAGCCTGCTCTACAAGTGAGTTCCAGGATAGCTGGGGCTACAGGGAGACCCTGTCTCAAAAAGACCAAAAAAAAAGAAGAAAAGTATTCTTAGAGATGACAATAAGATCATAATCTATAAAGATGGCCAATTGTGCTTAATCTCAATTTGACAACTATACACCAGGATAGAGCAGGAGCCAGGAGGCAAGAACCTAGTGATTTACTAGATCTCTACTATCCTTAGACACCCATGCCAAAATCTACACCAAGTATCACTGCTCCAAGCTCAAACATCACTTTTCAGAATTCTGGTGGTAGTAGGGACTGAACGTTTGGCCGTGTGCGTACTAGGCAAGCACTTTACCACTGAACCCTCTCTTTACTTTAAAAAATTTTCTTACTTATTCTTAGGAGTTTTATGCCTGCATGTACGTAAGTGCACCCGTGTTGGGCAGTGCCCACAGAGTCCAGAAGAGGGTGTTGGAACCCCTGGAACTGGAGTCACAGATGAGTGCTAGCCACCATATGGGTGCTGGGATTTGAACCCCAGTTTTCTGCTGTAAGAGAAGCCAGTGCTTTTAAGTGCTGAGCCATCTCTCCAGCCTCTCCTCTTTTTAATTTTGAGACAGGGTCTCTAACCTTATAGCCCAGGCTGGCCTCAAACTTCCAGCAATCTTTCTGTCTTGGCATTACAAGTAGCTAAGATTACAGGCCTGTACTACCAGGCCTGGCTAGGCAGAGTTCTTAAGGTGCTGGACTGTGTACCCTTAGCTGGAGCACCAACAATGAGTGATGCAGC